GGGAACAACTGGGAACAACTGGGGAGCAACTGGGGAGAACTGGAGAACAACTGGGGAACAACTGGGGACAACTGGGGACAATTGGGGACAATTGGGAAGAACTGGGGACAACTGGGGACAACTGGGAACAACTGGGGAACAATTGGGGACAATTGGGAAGAACTGGGAACAACTGGGAACAACTGGGAACAACTGGGGAACAACTGGGGAACAACTGGGAACAACTGGGGACAACTGGGGACAACTGGGAACAACTGGGGACAACTGGGGAACAACTGGGGACAACTGGGGACAACTGGGGACAACTGGGGACAACTGGGGAACAACTGGGAACAATTGGGGACAATTGGGGACAATTGGGGAACAACTGGAGAACAACTGGGGACAACTGGGGACAACTGGGGACAACTGGGGACAACTGGGGAACAACTGGGGACAACTGGGGACAACTGGGGACAACTGGGGACAACTGGGGAACAACTGGGGACAACTGGGGAACAACTGGGGAACTACTGGGAACAACTGGGGACAATTGGGGACAATTGGGAAGAACTGGGAAGAACTGGGGAACAACTGGGAACAACTGGGGACAACTGGGGAGCAACTGGGGACAATTGGGAAGAACTGGGAACAACTGGGGACAACTGGGGAACAACTGGGGAACTACTGGGAACAACTGGGGACAACTGGGGACAACTGGGGACAACTGGGAACAACTGGGAACAACTGGAGAACAACTGGAGAACAATTGGAGAACAAGTGGGGAACAAGTGGAGAATAATTGTGGAGAACAATTGTAGAGAATAACTGGAGAACAATTGCTGAGAATAATTGTGGAGAACAATTGGGGAACAATTACTGAGAATAATTAGAGAACAATTACTGAGACTAATTAGAGAACAATTACTGAGAGCATCTGCTGAGAACAATTGGAGAAAAACTGTGGAGAACAACTGGAGAACAACTGGGGAACAACTGGAGAACAACTGGAGAATAATTGCTGATAACAATTGTGGAGAACAACTGGAGAACAATTTGAGAACAGTTGTGGAGAAAATTTGGATAAAAATTGCTGAGAACAACGGGAGAACAATTGTGGAGAACAATTGCTGAGAATAATTAGAGAACAATTACTGAGAATAATTACAGAACAATTGCTGAGAACAATTGGAGAAAAACTGTGGAGAACAACTGGAGAACAACTGGGGAATAATTGTGGGGAATAACTGGAGAACAATTGGAGAACAATTAGAGAACAAGTGGAGAATAATTAGAGAACAATTGTGGAGAACAACTGGAGAACAATTGTGGGGGAAAATTGGAGAACAATTACTGAGAACAATTGGAGAATAATTAGAGAACAATTGGAGAATAATTGGAGAATAATTGGAGAACAATTGGAGAACAATTGGAGAATAATTTGAGAATAATTACAGAATAATTAGAGAACAATTAGAGCACACCTGGAGCACACCTGGAGCACACCTGGAGCAGTGGGAGCTGCCAGCTGAGCTCTCCTGCAGCACGATCAAATCCCAATAAATTCCCAATATTTGCTGCTGGTTCTCCCAGGAGCCTCCCCAGGCACACAAATCCCTTCACCCTCAGCTCTCCTGACTAAGGACAGCTCCAGGCTTAAAGGTTGTGGTTTAAAGTTTAAGTTTAAAGTTTAAGGTTTAAGTTTTAAGGTTTAAAGTTTAAAGTTTAAGGTTTAAAGTTTAGGGTTTAAGGTTCAAGGTTTAAAGTTTAAGGTTTAAAGGTTAAAGTTTAAGACTTAAGGTTTCAAGTTTAAGATTTAAAGTTTAAAGTTTAAGGTTTAAAGTTTAGGGTTTAAGGTTTAAAGGTTAAAGTATAAAGGTTTCAGGTTTAAAGTTTAAAGTTTAAGACTTAAGGTTTCAAGTTTAAGATTTAAGGTTCAGGGTTTAAGGTTCAAGGTTTAAAGTTTATGGTTCAAGGTTTAAAGTTTATGGTTCAAGGTTTAAGGTTTATGTTTTAAGGTTTAAGGTTTAAAGTTTAAGGTTTAAAGGTTTCAGGTTTAAGGTTTCAAGTTTAACGTTTAAG